CCCCAGAGTGGGGGAGGAGGGGGAGTCGTTTGCCCGCGGCGAGGAGGGGGGGGGGGGCTTGAAGCTTGGTCAGGTATGAACCCGTCCCTTTTCATGATGGAAAGGGGGGGGGGACGGGTTTCGAACCCCCAGTGACCCCTCCTGGTGTTTGAAGGGGGGGTGGAGACGGGTTCGAACCCCCCCAGTGACCCGCTTGGGTTTTCTGCCAGCAGCGGCAGAACACGCTCTTTCGTATCTACGTGTGCATGTCTGTCTGTCTGTATGTATGTATGTAGGTAGGTTGATATGTAGGTAGGTAAGTACTTATGTATGCATGCATGTATGCATGTTTGTATGTCTATATGTATGTGTGCATGCAGGCAGTCATATATGTATGTATGGATGTGTGTATGTATGCATGTGTATACGCATGCATGTATGTATATGTATGCATGTATGTATGTTTATTTGCATGTACGTGCGTATGTGCGTGCATGCATATCTGAATGTATGCATGTGTGTATATACGTATTGATGTATGCATGTATGCATGTATGTATGCACGTACGTTCGTAGGTATATATATATATATATTCATAACTGTACGTACACATGCGTGTATGCATGTTTGTATGTATGCATGTGTGTACGCGTGTGTATGTATGTATGTACGCATGCATGCACTCCTGCATATTTGTATGTATGCATGCACATCTGCATGCGTGTATGTCTATATGCATGCATGCATGCATGTATGCAGGCATGCAAGTATGCATGTACATATACATATGCCTGTGCATCGAACTGTGTATGTATGCTTGCATGCATGCATGCATGGTACGTATGTATGTGTGTATGTATGCATGTATGTATGTGTATGTATGTGTATGCATGTATGTATGTACGTATGTATGTATGTACGTATGTATGTATGTATGTATGTATGCATGCATGCATGCATGCATGCATGCATGCATGCATGTATCTATGTATATTTGTATGTATGTATGTACATACGTATGTATGCAGGTATGTATGTATGTATGTATGCATGCATGCATGTATGTATGTATGTAAGTATGTATGTATGTATGCATGTATGCATGCACGTTTATACATATATTTGTATGTATTTAACTATATATAATCTATAAGTATCGATGTACAGGGTCGGGGGGCTTCTCCCAGCTGCCTCGACTCGCCTTGAGGGCTCCGGGCTCCCCGGGCGCCTTCTCCAGCGGCCCGAGTGCCGCCCAGACGGCCTGAAGTGGCGTCACAGAGACACCAGAAGGCTTCGGGATGTCCCGCGGGGCTTCTGGGCAGCTCCAGATAGCTTCAAGATGGCCCAAGAGAATTCGACGAGCGCTCCCCAGAGGGCGCCAAGAGGCAAAGACTATTGATATTCATTCGGTTTTCAATGTTTTGGGGATTCTCGACTTTCGAGCTTCCGACGTTCCACGACGGCCCAAGAGGCTCTCAAGACCGCCCCAAGAGGCCCACAAGAGGCCCCTCAGAGGGTCCCAAGACGGACCAAGAGGGTCCCAAGACGGCCCCAAGAGGGGCCCAAGACTGTCCAACAGGGCCCCAAGACTGCCCCAACAGGGGCCCACGAGCAGGAGCTCGCAAGGACAATTCGAGCCTTCCGTCCCAAGATGCCCTTAGACGGCCCAAGAGGGCTCGCCGAGCGCTCCCAGAGGGCCCCAAGAGGCAAACACCCTTGATTTTCCATAGCTTTCAAATGTTTTCGGGGCTTTCGACTTGTCCAGCTTCTGGCGCTCCACGACGTCCCAAGAGCCCCCCAAGACCGTCCCGAGACGGGCCAAGAGGCCCTCAAGAATGTTTTAAAGACGGCCCAGTGGTGCCCCAAGCGGCCCTAGAGGCGCACAAGACGCCCGAAGACCGTCCCCAAAGGGGCCCGAGCGCAGGAGCCCGAAGCGATACCTCGAGTCTTCCGTCCTGAGATGCCCCCAGGCGGCCCAAGAGGACCCGATGAGCGCTCCTCAGATGGCCGCAAGAGGCAAACGCGCATGTTTTTTTCTTCAGTTGTACTTGATTTCGAAGGTCTTGACTTTTCGAGCTTCCGGCGCTCCACGACGTCTCAAGAGGCCCCCAAGACCGCCTCGAGACAGCCCAAGAGGCCCTCAAGAGGGCCCCGAGACATCCCAAGAGGGTCCTGAGACGGCCATAGGCGCGCCCAAAACATCCCAAGAGAGCTCCGCGACGGCCCCTGTAGGGCCCAACTTTAAACACATTTAAAACAAACCGCTTCCTCGTCAAAGCCTCAGGGAGGCTTCTGGAGGCCCTGGGGGCCCCACAGATGTCTCCAGAGCCCGGAGGCCCCGCGCAGAAACACAGGAGACGCCGCAGAACGTGCTCGGCGCGCCCCAGGTCTCCAGAGTCCAGAGCCTTCCGACGCGTCGCACGTTAATCTCGCACGGCTCCCCCAGAAGGCCTAGCACCTCCACGCGCCAAGAGCGGCCTTTGCCTGGGGAACCTCTCCCTGGGTATGTTGGTCTCCGTGGATTAGCGCAACGTCTATGGACAACGAGAGCGCAGTCTGCTAGAACCCAAGCGCGCGTAGCGCGCGCGTGGTTCGAGTAATGCATGTGTACAGATTTTGTGTATGCATATGTACACAGTGGGCGTATCTGTGTATGCATATGCATATGCATTCGTATATGTAAATGTATGTGTGTATACACAAACCTATATGACTCGATGAATGCGTGTATGTACTAGTATGCATACATGGGAGATTATATGTTTATGTATGTGTATGTGTATATGCATATGTAGCTGTGCATGTTTATGCTCATGTATGTGTACTTGCATGTGTGTACGCATGTGTAAATGTACGTGTATATGGACTTGTGCATATGTAGGCATTGGTATATGTAGATGGACATGTATTTGCATGGGAGCATTCACACATACGTATGTAAACGGATACACACGTATATTTGCATGAACGCAGAATTGTATATGTTGATGTAGTTATGTGTACGTTTATATAAGCACGTTTACACACGTCGACATGCACATGCGTATACATGTACTTATATAAGTCGGTATTGGTGTATAATGCACATATACATGTTTATACATACGTACGTATGCACATGTACATGTAGCCATGCTATTCATATGTATACATCTACATGTGCACATACACGCGAACACTAGTGGTCTTTGGCCCATCTCGCCACCGTGTTTAAGTTGTAGGTTAGAGGCCTCTGGGATGTCTTTGATGATCTCTCGGGAGGCCTTTCGGAAGCCTCTCGGATTCGGTTTTGAGGTGTCTTGGGGGCCTCTCGAGTGTCCCTTGAGGGCCTCTTCGGGCCTCATTTGGGCCTCTTGGGGGCCTCCTGGATGTTGTGAGGGGCCTCTGCTGGCCTGCTGGCGGTCTCGGGAGACATCTTGGGGCGAAGGGCTAGAAATGTTGGTTCGTCTCTCTTGGGCTTCTTGGACCTCTAATGGGCCGTCTTGGGGGGAGTTTTGGGGCCGTCTTGGGGTCATCTTGGATCATCTTGGGCCATCTGGGGGCGCTCTTAGGGGCCTCTTGGGCTGTCTTGCGGCGATCTTGGAGGATTTTTGGGCCGTCCTGGAGCGTCGGATACAAGAGGCGGCGAGGACACTAACATCCGTCACGAATCCGGCGTTTCAGGGGAACGCGCCGATTTCGACCAGATTTGGGGCCCAGATGGGCCCCACACCTTAGAGTTTCTCCTTTTCGCCTTCGCGAACAGCGCCGACGTCGAGAACTTCATTCCACCTGCGCATACATACAGACATAGTGTACACACATGCACACAGACACACCCATACATTTATATATATATATATATACATTCATGTACACATCATATTTGTATATATATATGTATATTTAGATACAGTGTGCAGTCCATGTGGGGCAATCTATGTGGCTCAGTAAAGATTTTGCAATCTATATTGCGCAACTCATGTTGTCAACCTACGTGGTGCAACCTGTGCTGTACAGTGAGGGTGCTGCGACATATGAGGTACACGATAGGTTTTGCAATCTATGTGGGCCAATGCAAATTTTGCGTTCCACGTGGTACAATCTATGTTGTGCAACCTATGGTGTGCAATCAATGTTGTGCACTCTATGTGATGTGATATGTTTGGTGCAACCCATGTGTACCAGTCAATGTGGACGGGTCCAGGTTTTGCGATATAGCTTGTGCAGCCTGATTGGCTTTGATAGATGGTGCAACCTATGTGGTGCACTCACTCTACGTGGTAAGGTCTAGGGGGATATCTAGGTGTTGCAAATCCAGGTCGTGCAAAGTATATTGTGCAATGCATGTGGTGCTGTTCGTGAGGTCAAATATCTGTTGTGTAACACATGTGGAACAACATAGGTGGTACGGTCTATTCGGTGCAGTCCAGCCCTGTGCAGTTTAGGGTATGCAATATCTGTGTTGCAATAGGTTGTGCAATGGATGTGGTGCAATGTATGTGGTGCAATTTATGTGATGTAATATGTGCTGTGCGATTTATGTGGTGCGCGATCTAGGTGGTGCGCAATCTATGTGGTGCGCAATCTATACAGTGCAATCAATGTGGCGGAGTCTTGTGCAATCTATGTTGTGCAATCTATGTGGGGCGGCGAAGGCGGCCACATAGCCGCCAGACCGAAGACACGGCCCAGCGACGGGCGGCGACGAGGCGGCGACGGGGCTACAGGGCGGCGACGGCGGCCACATAGCCGCCGGACCGAAGACACGGCCCAGTTCTTCAGAATAGAAATATGAACCCATAAGTGCAAGCACTGTTTGGGGACCGTCCTATCTTGCACATGTCTGATTCCAGCCCCATGATCCGTTACATTTGGATGCGTGGACAGCTATTTTTCACTCGATGTGAAGGAGGAGGAGGAACAGGCGAAGGAGGAGGAGGCGGAGGGGAAGGAGCAGGAGGAGGAGTCCTGGGAGAAGGGAGGATCTGGCATGGAGGCGTCGCCCCGCGGGAAGATATCAGGGAGGCCGTCGCCCGAGGTGCCGCAACAAGAGGTTCGTGGCCATGCACCCGTACAAGAGCCAGGAGGAGTACGGGAGGTGCCTCGACTCCGCCGAGGGTGACCAGGCTCCCAGTCGCGTGCGCTGCTGCCTCCTCCTCTTGCTCCTCTCGGCGGCGAGCCCCCGGGGGTGCGAGGAACAGTACGGGAGGTGCCTCGACTCCTCCGACGGTGGCCAGATTCCCGCTCGCGAGTGCTGCTGCCTCCTCCTATCGGCGGCGAGCCCGTGCTCTTCACGCTTCCGGCGCCTGCAGCCCTGGCTTCGGTCCCTGGGTGTGGCCGTGATGCAGCCCCGCGTCCATTGCCAGGTCACTTCGGCCCCGGCTGGCCGCCCCGGCGCGCTCATCCTGAAATGCTTTCAGCCGAGGGAGCCCTCCCCCTCCTTCCTGTCCTCCGCGGCCGCTTCTGCTCCTCGCCCGCCTCCCTCTGCTGCCAGACAATTAGTTTGTGGAGCGCCCCCGAAAACTCTAGCGCCCGAGCGGATTACCCCTGCCGTGTCGCAGGGGAAAAAGTGTGTTGCTGCCTCCTCCCCTTGCTTCTCTCGGCGGCGAGCCTGGGGATGGGGGGGAAACAAGAGCGGGCAGGCCCCTGCAGCGCGCGGCGATGCTTTTCGGAAGCCCCCTGGCCTTCTGGGAAGCCGTTTTTTGCCTCCTGAGAATGCACGCGCTCTTCCTTAGAAGGCGGGAGGGCGTTCGAGCAATCCTGCCTCCTCCTCCTCCTCTTCCTCCTCCTCCTCCTCCTCCTACTACTACTACTACTACTACTACTACTACTACTACTACTACTACTACTACTACTACTACTACTACTACTACTACTACTACTACTACTACTACTACTACTACTACTACTACTACTACTACTACTACTACTACTACTACTACTACTACTACTACTACTACTACTACTACTACTACTACTACTACTACTACTACTACTACTACTACTACTACTACTACTACTACTACTACTACTACTACTACTACTACTACTACTACTACTACTGACTACTACTACTACTACTACTACTACTACTACTACTACTACTACTACTATTACTACTACTACTACTACTACTACTACTACTACTACTACCTACTACTACTACTACTGCTACTGCTACTACTACTACTACTACCACTACTACTACTACTACTACTACTACTGCTACTCTACTACTACTACTACTACTACTACTACTACTCCTTCTACTACTACTACTACTACGCTGCTGCTGCTGCTACTACTACTTCTACTACTATAACTACGGCCACTACTACGACCACAACTACTACGACTAGTACTACTACTGCTATTACTACTGCTATTACTTCTACTACCATTACTATTAGTACTACTACTACTACTACTACTTCTACTACTACTTCTTCTACTACTACTACTGCTACTACTTCTACTATTACTACTACTACTGCTACTACTACTACTACTACTACTTTTACTATTACTATTACTTCTACTACTACTACTACTGCTACTATTACTATTTGTACTACTACTACTGCTCCTACTAGTACTACTACCTACTACTACTACTACTACCACTACTACTAGTACCACTACCACTACTACTACTACTGCTACTACTACTACTACCACCACTACTACTACTACTACTACTACTACTACTACTACTACTACTACTACTACTACTCTACTACTACTACTACTATTACTACTACTACTACTACTACTACTTCTACTACTACTACTACTACCACTACTACTACTACTACTACTACTACTACTACTACTACTACTACTACTACTACTACTACCAATCGTGACGGGGATCCCGTCCCATCCGTTTCGAAATTGGCAGCTCTCATCGTCGGGGGGGCTCTGGTCTGGAGCACCAAGTGTCCGGGGGCCTGCGCGGACCTTGTAGGCCGCTGCCTGGAGGAGACCTCCCTTCCCCGCGGTAGCTCGCGGCGCGCCGGGCGGGGGCGACGCGGGAGGCGCCCAAGGGGCCCAGCGCCGATCCAGGAGACCCACGGCACCCGCTGCAAAAAAATCCTATTGCGAAGGCCTGCCCCCTTTCCCTTCCCCCCGGGCTCGCTGTCGATTCTCGTCTCCTCTTGCTTCTCCCCCTGCGTCGTTTCCTCAGTCGCAGGTTTGGTTCGGGGCGTGCTGTTTCGGTTGCTTCTCTCTGCTTCCTGACAGTGCGGCATGGTTGCAGCTTGACTCGAGGCTCGGTCTTCTTAGGGCCCCAAATTTTCCGAGGAACATTTCGCCCGTTCCTCCAATATTACCTCCGTGAAAAGAACACACCGCCAAGCAATGCCAATACAGTGCAATTCAATGCAATGCGCAACAATACGGTGCAACGCAGCGCAACGTAAAACATGGTAAACAGACGCAGCGCAAAGCTAACGAAACAGTAACATGATGCAGCACGCATAGGAAGAGGGGGAGGAGGAGGCGGAGGAAGGAGAAGGCGGAGGAAGGAGGCGGAGGAGGAGGGCAGTTTCGGAGTGAGCTCCCTCGAGCCTGCCCGATGGAGCCCGCGTCGGTTGGGGTGTCGTCTGCGGCATGCGATCGAATGAGAAGGACGACAGGAGGGGGTCTCGAGGATAATGATCTTGATGATGATGACGAGGATCACGATGATGATGGTGATGATGCTGTTGATGGTGATGCTGATGCTGATGCTGATGTTGCTGATGATGAGAATGTTGCTGATGCTGATGCTGACGAGGATGATGATGTGGGTGGTTATGATTATGAGAATGATGATGATATGATGATGGTGTTGCTGCTGCTGCTGATGCTGATGCTGATGATGATTATGATGGTCATGCTGATGATTGTGATGATGGTGATAATAATGTTGATGACGCTGATGATGATGAGGATGATGATGATGATGATGATGGTGGTGGTGGTGGTAATGATGATGATGGTGATGGCGGTGATTGTGATTGTGATGGTAATGGTGGTGATGTTAGTGGCTTGGTTCTTCTTAGCCGCGCCCTAGGTCTTTCCTCCGTTTTCGATTTTGGTCCCTTGACAAGTTAACAGTGCTAAAACAACATTGCGTTGTTTTAGCGTTTTTACCTGCTTCTTATTGTTTGGCGCTTTCAGGCCCGTCGCTGTGGATCTTTATGTTTTTTCAAGTCGTTTTTTTCCCGTTTTCTTGTCAAAGGCTGCTCCATGTCTTCATTGCCGTCTTCGCTCCCGCTTCCCCGTTCCTCCCGCCCCCCGTTCCTCCCGCTCCGCGCGCAGACCGCAGAGCTAAACACGCGCCCCAAAACGCCCGAACACCGGACCAACACCGGCGCTGAACACGCCCGGAGGCCCCGCGACCAGCCAGCAGCGACGACCAGAGAAGAGCAACACGATTGAAATACATATACAGGGAGGATTGGGCGCAAGAAGAAGGAACTCAGGATGTGGTAGACGGCAATGTTAAGCAGTGCAATCAGGCGATCTGGAAATGCCAAACACATGTAGCTCAACCGTTTTTCAGTGTTTTGATTTCTATTGTTGGGGCCTCAAGAGCTAAACGAATGATTTCCAACACGCCGACTGAAGAACGGTATAACAACGCCTGGGGCATATTTATCAAGAACCACGAGTCGTGGTGATCATGGTGATGATTATGGTGATGGTGATGATGAGAATGATGGTGGTGATGACGATGCCGATCGTGATGCCTGTTTTGATAATGATGGTGGTGAGGATGATGATTGAATGATGACTGTGATGCAAGTTATGGTTCTGTCTGTTGTGAGGATGAGGATGAGGGTCATTATGACGATGATGACGACGATTGCAATAATGGTGACGAAGATGATGATGATGATGATGATGATGATGATGATGATGATGATGATGCTTCTTCTGTGGATGATGAGCGGTGGTGGTGGTGATGCTGATGATGGTGATGATGTGGCTGTCTCCGACGATGCTGCTGCTGATGATGATGACGATGATGACAATGACGAGTATAATGAGTATGATGATGATGATGACGGTAGCGAGGGTTGTGACGTTGGTGATGATCATGTTGCTGCTGATGATGATGATGATGATGATGATGATGATCATGGTGGCGGTGGTGGTGATGATGATGCTGATGATGATGCTGATGCTGTGGATGATGCAGACGATGATGATATTGACGATTCTGATGATGGCGATGATGATGATTGTGATGCTGCTGACCAGGATTTGATTATGCTGATGCTGATGATGATTGTGATGATGATGAGGATGAGGATTATGAATATGACGATGACGATGATGACGATAATGATGGCGATGATGGTGGCAACGATGATGGCACCTCTCATGATTATGATGCGCAGAGAGTTGTGTGACGACGGCAACGGTTACGACGACGGTGGTGGCGGCGACGATGGTGAGGAGGATGAGGAGGAGGACGAGGAGGAGGATGAGCAGGATGATTATGATGGTGATGAGTATGGTGATGTTTCTGATGCTGATACTGATGATGCTGCTGCTGCTGCTGCTGATGATGATGATGATGATGATGATGATGGTGATGATGATGATGCTGATGGTGCTGGTGATGATTGTGCTGATGATGATGATGATGATGATGATGATGATGATGATGATGATGATGATGATGATGATGAGGATGAGGATGAGGGTGAGGGCGAGGATGAGGATGAGGATGAGGATGAGGATGAGGATGAGGATGAGGATGATGATGAGGATGTTGTTGATGATGATGATGATGAGGAGGAGGAGGAGGAGGAGGAGGAGGAGGAAAGGAGGAGGAGAAGCAGGGAGTGGTGGTGGGTCTACCTCCCATCGTGCCCTTGTCCCTCAGGCCTACGACGCCCCCTTCGACCACACGCTCAACGACGCCTGGAACAAGCTGGGGCCCGAGCTGAACGGGCTCCATGCCACGGGCTAGCGCCTCCTGCACCAGCAGTAGCTCGCGCATCAGGCCCGCGCAGGCGGCGCCCAGCGCCCACGCCAGCTTGCGGAGGGGGGTGGGGGGGCGCCCAGGGCGGCCGAAGGTGTCCCGCCCGCTGGCGTCCAGATCCCAGAGCAGACCAGGGGGTCGTTCCTGGCCCATCAATCGTGGTCGGGATCTTCTGCTTGGCGTGCCGCTGCGGCGGCCCCAGCGGCACGCTGCGCCCTGCGAGCGGATGGCGTGTCGCTCCTCTCCGCGGTGGCGACCGGAAAGTGGATCGCGTGTCGCGCCGTGGCGTGGTGGGCCAGAACCGGCGGTGCGACACGCTGTCCGAAAGTTCCTGACCGCAGAACGCCCCGTCTTATCTCTTCAGTAGGGCCGAGGGCCATCAACAAAGGAGCGTCAAGGTGGTCAAACGCCTCGCCGGTAAAGCCGACGAAGATGTGCAACATCCAACTATTCGCTTATGTCCGAAGTTTCGCCTTGAGGCTGGGTGTGGTGCATCTTCAGCTTGACCGCAAAGGTTGGTTGCGCCCCTTGACGTCTCTTTGGGGTGTTCTGCAGACCTGCCCCCCCAAGCCCTACTCCATCTATCTCCTATCTCGTCCCACTTCCACACGCGGTGCTGGGTGCGCTCTCAGAGGTAAGGCGGGAGGCCCGCGCGTGGTCCTGGGATGGGATGTCCGCTGGGATGTCGTTGTGGTCGCTGGGATGTCCGCTCCTCGTCGCTCCTGCTCCCCCCGAGAGCACAGATGCGCAGCCCCTCCTCCGTCCCCTCTCCTCCCCAGGCCCCTGGTCCCAGCAGAGGGGGAGGAGGAGGAGGAGGAGGAGGACCAGGAGGAGGAGGAGCAGGAGCAGGAGGAGGAGGAGGAGGAGGAGGAGGAGGAGGAGGAGGAGAGGAGGAGGAGGAGGAGCAACAGCAGCAGCAGGAGGAGGAGGAGGAGGAGGAGGAGGAGGAGGAGGAGGATGAGCAGGATAGTGAGCCGCTCCCTGTCTCAACTGCCTCCGAATTCTCGGTGGCGAGCGGGGGGGGGGGAGTGAGAGGGGACGGGCCTCCCCAGAAGGCTCGGACGTCCCTTCCTCCTCCCCTCCTCCTTCTCCTCCTCCTCCTCCTCCTCCTCCGCCTCCTCCTCCCCCTCCTCCTCCTCCTGCTCCTCCTCCTCCTTCTCCTCCTCCCTCCTCTCCTCTCCTCCTCCTCCTCCTCCCTCCTCCTCTCCTCCTCCTCCTCCCTTCCTCCTCCTCCTCCTCCCCGGGGACACAGAAAACTTCTCAGAAGGCGCGGGGGGCGTCTGAGACGTCCCGCCGCCTTCTGAGAAGGCCTTCTCCTTCTCACTTCCCCCCCCTCACTCGCCGCCGAAGTTCGCACAGCAGCGGCTCCGCTGTAGCTCGACCGCAACTTGGACCCGGCGCCGCGCATCAAGAGCTGTCTCAGTTGCCTCTCGGTGTGGTATGCCGCGTGTGCCTGCGCCCCCGTGCGATTGGGCAGACGTGCAGTCGCGCGAGCTTCACTCCACTTGGCATCGCTCGGACAAATCGCACGGGGCACGGGCGCCCGAGCGATGGCAGGTTTGATCAACAGCACCCTCCCCCCTTCTCCCACGGACTCCCTTCCCCGCCACCCCTCCGGCGCGCTGCGCGCGCCCGGGAAGGGGCGCCGGGTAGGGGGGGTCCGGCGGCGTCTCTAGAAGTCCGCGCAGGCTCCTCCTCCTCCTGCTTTCCACCTCCTCCTCTTCCTCTCCTTCTCCTCCTCCTCCTGCTTTCCACCTCCTCCTCTTCCTCTGCTCCTTCTCCCCCTCCTCCTCTTCCTCGTCCTCCTCCTCCTCCTCCACCTTTCCTCCTCCACCTCCTCCTCCTCCTCCTCCTCCTCCTCCTCCTCCTCCCTCCTTCTTCTCCTCCCCCTCCTCCTCCTTTCCACCTACTCCTCTTCCTCCTCCTTCTTCTCCTTCTCCTCCTCCTCCTCCTCCTCCTCCTCCTCCTCGACTCACGAGCGGCGAACGCATCCATAGCTGCGCCCTCGCGGTCCGGGCTCTGGGGCACAATTCCCGCGGACGCGCGGTCGCACGGACGCGTTCCGTGCGGGGCATGCGCGAAGAGACGATCCGCATCCGCGGGGGGTCGCGGCCCAGGGGCCCGGCCCGCGAGGCCGTAGACTTCTGTCGGGCCTGTTCCCCGACAGGGGGATTTCCGACGAAACAAATGCTCCAAAAATAGTCAGGGGATTATTTTTTGGAGCATTTTGTTTTGTTTTGTTTTTTTTGTTTTGTTTTTACCTTTTTGGGGGTATTTTTTGGGGGGTATTTTTATATTTTTCGTCGAAAATCCCCCTGTAGGGGGACAGGCCCAACATAACCGTAGACACGGATATGTTCGGGGGCGGCAAAGAGGGGGGTAATGACCGGGGAGGGGGGTGAAAATCATGGCGTGGGGCATGATATTTCCGCAGATTTCATGGCGCCTCTATGATTTCATTACGTCCCTGCCCCCCCCCGGGTACGCGCACATGCCGCCGGCCATGATTTGCGCCCCTCTTGGACGCCCCTCTCCTGGCCGCCACCGATACGTGTTCGCCCAGGACAGGCCTCTTGTACCTTGTGCTGATGCCGTCTTATGGGTCTTCTCATGCCACCGCTCGCTGCCCTTCTCTCCTCTTTCCTCCCTCCCTGCCTTCTCCCCTCCTTCCCGCGGCTACACATGAGAGTGAGAGCTCTTGCTGGAGTGCTCCGTGCTGCGGCCCTATAACTACCGGCGCCCCGCGCCGAAAGCTGGGTAGGGTTCGCACTCTCACCTGCGGGCTTGGGTTTGGTCCTTCCGCATAATTGCAGTGGAGGCCCACGCCAAGAAACACCCTGTTTGCCTTCAGGGTGCCCCGGGTTGCTTGGGCTTCGATGGTTTTGCGACAGCAGGCGTGACGTTCCCAGACCACAGATCACTGGACGTCCTGGGGTCTCAGGGTTGGGCTTCTTGCGGAAGGCCTCTTGTGGCCGGGCCCTCACCGCACTCCGGAAGCCACGCACCACAAATGCCACTCCTGCCCGGGGCGAGCCAGCAGCCAGGGCGAGCTTTCACGGCACACAGGAGAGCCCCCCTCCGTGCAGGCTCCGCTGGTGCAGCCCTTGTCGTTGCATCTCGAGGAGGAGGAGGAGGAGGAGGAGGAGGAGGAGGAGGAGGAGGAGGAGGAGGAGGAGGAGGGAGGAGGAGGAGGAGGGAGGAGGAGGAGGAGGAGGAGGAGGAGGAGGAGGAGGGAGGAGGAGGAGGAGGAGGCCGCTCTTGCTCCGCGGCGCGCCCGGGGGGGGGGAGAGAGTGCGCGTGGGCGGGGGCCTCCTCGGAAGGCGGCGGGGGGCTTCCCCCGGCAGGCCCTCCGGCAAGCCCTCCCGAGAGAGAGGCCGCCCGTGCCCTCGGCGCAGGCCTGCTGTCGGGCTGCTCTCGTGGGCAGCGTGCCGCCGCCGCCGGCGCCGGAGACACGCCGTCCGCGTCGCGGTCCCCCGGGTTCAGGAGGAGAACAAAGACACACAGAGACACAATGGATCGTCTAGGGGGCCACATGTGAACCCTATCCCTACCTCCCACAATTTCTGAGGGAGAGGGTGGGGTTCACTTCGCTCGGGAGCTCCCGAACGACGTGAACCCCCTCAGAAATCGTGGGGCATAGGGGTAGGGTTCGCATGTGGCCCCCTATCGTCGAATCCCCGGAAAACATTGGAACAAAATGGGCAGTGGGGGGGAAGACAGGCACCCAGAACAAAAAGGGGGAAGTTATGGGGAAGCCTGAAATATTTGTGGTGTGTATTTATTTGTGTGTCCCAGGGCCCCTTCACCCAGGCGTCAACGTCTCGAGCCTGTCCCAGCCTCCCACCCCGCGGAGCGGAGCGACACGCTATCCGCTCGCAGGGCACGGCGTGTCGCCAAGGCCACCGCGGTCGCCAAGGCCGCCGCGGCGACACGCTAAGCAAGAGCTCCCGACCGCAGAAGCTTCTCGGAAGGCCAGGGGCCTCCTGAGCCTCCTGAGAAGGCCCGCCCCCTCTCACTTCCCACCGACTTGCGCGCAAGCTACTTGCGCGCAGCGGATTCTCGCGCGGGCGACAGTGCGTACACAGCTTAGCGCCGACGGGATGGACGGGATTGCTCGCCATGGGGGAAGGGGGTCCTGAGGGAAACGGGTCCTGAGGGTTGTCCCCGTTTTCGGGCTCTCGGGGCCCTCCACGGGCCCTGGGACTGTGAGAAAACGACTCAGGATGAGGAACTCATCCTGGGGGAAGGCCCCGGGGTCCAGGCCCCGTTTCCCTCAGGACCCGTTCCCTCTGGGCCTCTCAGAGGGTGTCGGAGTAGATCAAGTCGGAGGATCGCGCCACATCGCCGATGCATTGGGTGTGTGGCGCGATGGGGAGCCCGACTTTCTCCACGCCGGCGTCGCCGATGCATCGCCGACGTCGCCGATGCACCGCCGATGTGTCGCCGATGCGTCGCCGATGCGCTGGCGATGCGGCGCGATCCTCCGTCCCCATCTGCTCGGACGCCATCTGGGAGGCCCCGTATGGAACTGCCGCAGCGCTTCCCCACCTCCGAGGCCCCGCAGAGGAGGGCCGTGCCGGCAGCACTCCTTGCGAAGGCCGGACGAAGGTCGCGTGCGAGTGCACGCGCGGAGTCCCGAGCGAAGGTTTAAGTCGGGCCTGTCCCCCGACAGGGGGATTTTGGAGGACAAATAAAAAATACCCCTAAAAAATAGGCAAAAAATTGCCCCCAGACTATTTTTTTTGACTATTTCTGAATATTCCTCCTGTAGAGGGACGGGCCCGACTTAAACGAAGCGAAGGTCGCCGTTGCGGGTCCCGAGGCCCTCCGACCAGGCGGCTCCTGGCACCGCTCGAGGCGCCCCCCCCACCCCTCTCTCGCTCGACCAGCGCGCGCCCAGCTGGGGCTGGTGGGCGGACTGCATCAATTAGGGCACGCGGCTGGCCCAGCGGAGGCGGAGGAGGCGGAAGGAGGAGGAGGAGGAAGAG